ATTTTTAATAAACATGTCATGGGTATTGAGAGATGTGGGCCATATTCTCAAACGAATATGTGTAACTCCAGCTGAGTTCCATTTGAGTCCCACACTCCTACCTACGTGCAGAATCTAGCACTCTGTATATAGCTGCAAAACTTAATGTAATATTTATAGTGAAGTTTTGTAGCTATTTAAGAAATGGAAACAAACAACAGTCTGACCAAATTAATCAATCAGATCTCTTGTGGATGAAAAAATTAATTTAAAATGTATGTTATCTGTAAACTCAGCTTTCTTAATAAAACACGTTTACATTATGTTTTACAACAGTTTTGCCAAATTTTTGTTCAGCCTGAGAGCTGGCAACAGCTGGAGTACAAAGGAGTGTTGCCAAATGTGAAATATTGATAAGGATTACCAAGATAGATTGCTCTGTTATTCAGAAACTTAACAAGGTGAAGTTGAGAACAGGGCCCACAGCCTACTAGGCTAGAAAGAACACTCAATAGCATTAGGTATTGAGGAGACTCTTTTCTTAGAGCCCATGAACATTTCTGTTTCAGGAGCTACCTCTCACAAATATTTCCACTGTTTCTTCTAAGCAATATTCATAAACATATTTGAGTGAGCTCTGTTGTTAGCAGGACTAAGAAAGGGCTGCTACATGTAGAATGCACATTTTCCTCTACATTCTGCTTGTCTCTCCTCCAATAAACTCTTCTTCCAAGATATAACCAATAGGGCTATGTGAAGCTTCAGTCACTGATTCAATTTGGCGGAGATTCAGCCCAATTTGGTGGCCAAATCTCCGAATCATATCAGGAAACCGTTTAATCTCTCCGAATCGAACTGGAACCCTCCAAATCGATATGGAAAGATTCAGATATAGACACAGCTTTAAATGTTTTTTCTACATACCTCTAGGTAGCAGGCGACTCGTCAATGCTGAGATGGTGGGGCGGATGGAACATCCCACAGGAGTGTGGGGGGGTCCCCAGCATGCTCGGCAGCACTTCCGGTCCACTTCCGGGTCTGTTGGGGAGCACGCTGGGGTGCCCCCCCCGGCTCAGTAACTGGTGCCTCCTGGGTCTGAGGGGGCACCCAAGGTCTCCCTGCGGCTGACTGTAGAGTCAGGGGTGGCATGGGGGGGGGTCCTCCGCACACTTGGCAGCAGACCTGGAAGTGGACTGGTAGTACTTCTGGTCCACTTCCGGGTTCGCTGCCAAGCACACGGGGGGGGCCCCCCTGCACTCCTGTGGGACACTCCATCCGCCCCACCATCACAGCATTCACAAGCTGCATGCCTAATACCTCAAAGTATGTAGAAAAAATATTTAAAGCTGTGTCTATGCCCAAATCAGCATTGAAACTTCAGATTCGGATTCAGCCAAATAGAATCGGGACAGTGATCCGAATCAATTAATTGAATCACTGTCCCCAATTCGGGATGAATCTGAATCCAAATCAAATACAGCCCATTCCGCACATCCCTAATAACCAATTTCTTCACCAGCCTTATTGCTAAACTTCTCATCCACACTTTGGCCCTCTCTTGATTATGATAGCCACTTCTTCTCTGGCATATCTCTCATCATAAAAACTTCTTCCAATCTACCTACAGGAGGCCCATGTATGACAAGAGGGCATCTCCTGAATTAGCATTTAAGGAGAGATTCTTCATACTAGAAAAATAAGTTTTTCCCCTATCCACTAGCACATCTGCCTAGTGACATGCCATTACTCATAAGTGTGCACCGATGGAGATTGTGGGGGCCGATACCAATAGCCCATTTTTAAGGAGGCATATCAGCCAATATCAATCCGGTTTCCAATACAGCTGCGTACAGATGATAAGTCTGTTGTGATGAAAGGGGAGGGGGGAGGGAAGGGGCATGGGAGGGCAGATCAAGGCCTCTGTAGTGAGGGAGGGAGTAGGGCAGGCGCTGGGGTAGGCACTGCCCAGCCGGGGTGGGGTGGGGCAGGGCGGGCGCGGGGCGAAGCTGCGGCTTGTCCCGGGGGGACAAAGGGGGAGGGGGCG